CATGGACTTTTTCTTCCTGGGCTGGCTTTGAACCACAATCCTCAGATTCAGCCTCCTGAGTAGCTAGGCTTATAGGTAGGAGACATAGGTCCTTGCCTTCTCCTGGCTTTTAGAATTCCTATTGAGAAATATGTTTTTATTCTTGTGGATTTGACATTATATGAGACTTGCTTCCCAGAGCTTTCAGTATTCTTTCCATTTTTCAGGTGGGGGAGTATAATTAGTGTTGTGTATTATAGTATGTCTAAAGTGTTTCTTTTCTTTTCTTCTTTTTTCTTTTCTTTTTGTTGGGCGTGGGGCTTGAACTCTGGGCCTGGGCACTGTCCCTCAGTTCTTCAGCTCAAGGCTAGCACTCTTATCACTTGAGCCACAGCGCCACTTCTCATTTTCTCCACTTCTCGTTTTCGGTTGGTTAGAGATAAGAGCGATGGACTTTCCTGCTGGGGCTGGCTTTGAACCGTGATCTCAGATCTCAGCCTCTGGAGTAGTTAGAATTACAGGCATGAGCCATCGGCGCCCAGCTAAAGTGTTTCTTTTCTGAGCTTACCTATTTTGGCTTCTGCAAGGCTCCTATGCTTGGATGACGTAAGATACAGAGATTTTTTTTGCCTTTTTTTTTTTATTGTTTTCTGTGCCTTTAGTTTCCTTCTCTTTTGTACCCATGATTCCTAGCTTTGGTCTTTTAAAATTTCTTCTGTATACTATTTGGATTTTCCTATTTTTTTTTAATTTTCTTAATTTTTTTTTTTGGGGGGGGAGTCTGGTCATGGGGCCTGAACTCTGGACCTGGGCGCTGTCCCTCAGCTCTTCAGCTCAAGGCTAGCACTCTACCACTTGAGCCACAGAGCCACTTCCGGCTTTTGTTTTTTCTGCTTTTGTGGTGCTGAGGAATTGAACCCAGGGCCTTATGCATGCATGGCAAGCGCTCTACCACTGAGCCACCTTCCCAGCCCCTTTCTTAATATTTTTGTCCTTATGTAATTGATCATATTCTTCTTTTTGTTGCTGATTATCTGATACCTAGTTTTTATCTTGCTACATTCTACTAGTAAGAGTTTTAATTGAATTTTTTAGGGAAGTTAATTACAGAGCTTTTTATTTCCAGGATTGTAATTTGATTTATTTCTGCAGAAGTTATATTCTTTATGTCCTGCATTGTCTTCCTCATTTCATTCAGCTGTTTATTTGATTTCTTGTGAGTTCATCCAACTGTGTTTGTTGTATTTGCTGCATACATTCAGCTGTTTGTACATGTCCTTTTAAATAGTGATTCTTCATTATACTTTTGAGTTTATTACTTGAAATTTTATCCACTTCACTGTTGTTCAAGTACTTTATTGTGGAATTGACTTTTGGAAGAGAAATATCTTGTTTTCTCATTTTGTATTTCTGCATTAGGATTTACATATCGTAGGACAAGTCATTTGTTAGAAGTTTTATTTATTTATTTATCTTAAAAAAATTTTTTTTGTTGGTCGTGGGACTTGAGCTCTGGGCCTGGGTGTTGTACCTCAGCTCTTCAGCTCAAGGCTAGCACTCTACCACTTGAGCCACAGTGCCACTTCTGTTTTTCTGGTGGTTTATTGGAGATAAGAGTCTGATGGACTTTCCTGCCCAGGCTGGCTTTGAACCATGATCCTCATAACTCAGCTTCCTGAGTAGTTAAGATTATAGTCCTGAGCCACCAGTGCCCAGCTTATTTATTTATTTTTTTGTGGGTTGTGGGGCTTGAACTCTGGGCCTGGGCGCTGTCCCTCAGCTCTTCAGCTCAAGGCTAGCACTCTACCACTTGAGCCACAGTGCCACTTCCGGCTTTTTCTGTTTATGTGGTGCTGAGGATGTTAGAAGTTTTAATCATCTGTATTCTTTCAGTTGAGGCAGCCTCACTGTTGAGGCAAGGCATTATTACATTGACTAGGTTGAAATGCTGTTTCTTACCTCTGGACTGGGGGATATAGCTTTATAGCCACACATTTACCCATTTCTCAGGGGGCTGGGCCTAAGTCTCAGCACTGCTAGATGAAGGTAAACTCATTGAAGTCTCTTCGTCAGCAAATAGATGACATATAATTTCCAGGGGCAAGGTACATTACTCTCAGGCTCTGCCTGACAGTTCATCTCTGGTCCACAGACATGTATCATTATGCCCAGTTTATTGCTGGCAAAAATATGAGACCCTATCTGAAAAATTGCTGAAGTGAAAAGGGGTTGAGAGTGTGTCTCAAGTGGTAGAACACCTGCCTGACAAGCTCATGGTCCTGAAATTAACCCCTTTTATACCTGGTGTCAGGCTCAGACTGTATTCCTTATCTGTGGACTTCTACCAGAAGACTTTGGTGGTCAGATAAATAATTTGGTCAATTACATAGGAGATATGTTAAATATATTTGGATTTTTATGTCTGTGTTTTCTTTTTTGTTGGTCTTGGGACTTGAACTCCGGGCAGCTTAGGCACTGTCCCTCAACTCTTCAGCTCAAGGTTAGCACTCTACCACTTGAACTACTGTACCACTTCCGGCCTGTTCTGCTTATGTGGTGCTGAGGAATCAAACCCAGGGCCTCATGCATGTGAGGCAAGCACTCTACCATTGAGCTACCTTCCAGTCCCATATGTCTGTGTTTTTAAAGTTATGTCAGTTTCCTCTCTGGTCATTTATTCTCCCATTGTAAGTTTTAGGTATGTTTTAAGAGCAAAACAAAAATCATTTAAGAAAAAAGTTAAAGGGGATAGTATTAGAAGCACCATTTTACTCTCTTATTCATATAGTGATAGTTTAAGCCTCCTAAGAGAATTTCAACCTTGAAATATAAGCACACAATGAGATGAAAAAATGTACAGTTCAAACTATTAGAATTTATGAGAAAAATATTAAGTATTTAGCTGATGACAAATTTCTTGAATAAGAAGTGTTATCTTTTTGTATTCTAAGAAGTGGGAAGCAGTATGGGGCTAGCAGGTACTGTGTGCATAATTTGAAAGAGAATGGATAGGGAAAAGGGAGGTATTAGTTAAAAAGTACAAAGTTTCGGCCTGGGAAGGTGGCTCAGTGGTAGAGTGCTTGCCTTGCATGCCTGAGGCCCTGGGTTCGATTCCTCAGCACCACATAAGCAAAAAGAAAAAAGCCGGTAGTGGCACTGTGGGTCAAGTGGTAGAGTGCTAGCCTTGAGCTGAAGAGCTGAGGGACAGCGCCCAGGGACAGAGTTCAGGCCCCACAACCGGACCCCCGCCCCTCCAAAAAAAGTACAAAGTTTCAGCTAACACTAAGTGCTAGTCATCTATTTCACAGCAGTGTGCTATAGTTAGTAATAATGTCATCCAAAATTGCTACAGTACCTTTTAAGTGCTTTCAACACAAAAAGAAATAAATATGTTTATTAGCTTGATTTGATCATCCCCAAAAGTGTACATGTACCTTATTACATTGAATCTCATAAATGCAATTACTCTTTGTCAATTGCAGATAAATAATTTGAAAAGAAACATTATCTCTTTAGTGTGATAACAGTACAAAATATTTTAAGTGGTTTATCTTTATAGCACATATTATTTGAAGAAAGGATTTACCTAAATTAATTGTTAATTGGTTAAACTATGTTACAATTTTGATTATTTTCTTTTTCTTTTACTTTTTTTTTTTTTTTTTTGGTTGGTCGTGGGGCTTGAACTCTGGGCCTGGGTGCTATCCTTCAGTTAGTTCTTCAGCTCAAGACGAATGCTCTACCACTTGAGCCACAGAGCCACTTCGGGTTTTCTAGTGGTTTATTGGAGATAAGAGTCTCATGGACTTTCTTGCCCAGGCTGGCTTTGAACCACAATCCTCAGAGCTCAGCCTCCTGAGATTACAGGCTATGATTGCAGGCTTGAGCCACCGGGAACTGGCTTGATTATTTTCAAGATTGAGTCCTGTATATGACTACTATAGTAAAATATGGTTTCTTAAGATATATAAAGTATTGACATAGACTACTTTTTTGTTTGTTTGTTTGTGGTATCGGTAGTAGGGCTTGAACTCAAGATCTTTTAGTTCTCATTTAGCTTTTTCACTCACAGCTGAGGCTCTTCTGCTTTACCTACTACTTGTGCCACACCTAATTCCAGCTTTTTTTTTTTTTGGTCAGTCATGGGCCTGAACTCTGGGCCTGGGTACTATCCCTCAGCTCTTCAGCTCAAGGCTAGCGCTGTACCACTTGAGCCATAGGGCCACTTCTGGCTTTTTCTGCTTATGTGGTGCTGAGGAATTGAACCCAGGGCCTCATGCATGCAAAGCAAGCACTCTACCAATAAGCCACCTTCCCAGCCCCTAATTCCAGCTTTTTGCTGATTGATTGGAGAACAAATTCTTGAAGATTTGTCTGCCTGGGCTGGCTTCCAACTTGATCCTCAGATCTCAGCCTCCTGAGAAAACTAGGATGATAGTCATGAGCTATACTGCTGCCCAGCTATTACCTGTTTTTTAAAAATAATAATAGCCACCACTTACAAGATAGCTACTGCTAGGTATTTTTTAGGTATTTAATTTTGTTAGTGTCTGCATGCCTATAATGCTATAGAATTGCATTTATTTTATAGTTGTTTAAAATTATATGAACTAAATTTGGTTCTTTATAAACTGTTAGTATCTTCATTATACAAATACTGTGCTTAGCGGTTGGGAAGATGGCTCAGTGGTAGAGAGCTTGCCTTGCATGCCTGAGGCCCTGGGTTCGATTCCTCAGCACCACATAAGCAAAATGAAAAAAGCTGGAAGTGACGCTGTGGCTCAAGTGGTAGAGCACTAGCCTTGACCTGAAGAGCTGAGGGACAGCGCCCAGGCTCAGAGTTCAGGCCCCACGACCGGACCAAAAACAACAACAACAACAAAACAAATACTGTGCTTAGCTATTGTATAATTGATTGCAAAGTTTCTTTGGTTTGGGGATATTTAGGTATGTATTTCCTTTCTTCAGAATTGTAAATATTACATTGATTGATTGATTGATAATTCCTTCCTTCCTTGCAGACCTATTCAAGTAAATGGGTCCAGTAATTGGAATGACTCCGGATAAGAGAGCTGAAACTCCAGGAGCTGAAAAGATTGCAGGACTAAGCCAAATTTACCAAATGGGAAGCTTGCCCGAAGCTGTTGATGCTGCTGGGCCAAAGGCCACTCTGGTAGGCAGTGAGTCAGCAGATGATGAACTCACAAATTTGAACTGGCTTCATGAAAGTACTAATCTTCTAACAAACTTCAGCCTCGGAAGTGAAGGTCTTCCAATGGTTAGTCCATTGTATGATATAGAGGGAGATGATGTGCCAGCTTTTGGGCCATCTTGCTACCAGAACCCAGAAAAAAAATCAGCAACTTCAAAGCCCCCATACTCCTTTAGTCTTCTCATTTATATGGCTATTGAACACTCTCCAAATAAATGTTTGCCTGTCAAAGAAATTTATAGCTGGATTCTGGATCGCTTCCCATACTTTGCTACTGCACCAACAGGCTGGAAGAATTCTGTTCGACATAATCTGTCCTTAAACAAATGTTTTCAAAAAGTGGAAAGAAGCCACAGCAAGGTCAGTGTTTATAAACATTGCTACGTTTGATTGGGTAACTAACATGGAACCATTAAAATTTGGGAAATGGGACTGGGAAGGTGGCTCAGGGGTAGAGTGCTTGCCTTGCATGCATGAGGCCCTGGGTTCGATTCCTGAGCCCCACATAAGCAGAAAAAGCTGGAAGTGGCTATGTGGCTCAAAGTGGTAGAGTGCTAGCCTTGAGCTGAAGAGCTGAGGGACAGTGCTCAGGCCCAGAGTTCAGGCCCTACAAACAACAAAGAAAAAGGGGTGGGGGGGCAATCAAGGGAGACAAAAACTTCAGTTTGAGACTAATAAGATTATCACTTGCTTTCATTTGAGATGTTTAAAAATTTTGTTAAGTAGCCAGGCATTGGTGGCTCATGCCTGTAATCCTAGCTACTTAAGAGGCTGATACCTGAGGATAACGTTCAAAGCCAACCTGGCATGAAAGTCCATGAGACTCCTATCTCCAATAAACCACTCAGAAAACTGGAAGTGGCACTGTGGCTCAAGTGGTAGAGTGCTTGCCTTGAGCTGAAGAGCTGAGGGACAGCACCCAGGCCCAGAGTTCAGGCCCTACAAACAACAAAGAAAAAGGGGTGGGGGGGCAATCAAGGGAGACAAAAACTTCAGTTTGAGACTAATAAGATTATCACTTGCTTTCATTTGAGATGTTTAAAAATTTTGTTAAGTAGCCAGGCATTGGTGGCTCATGCCTGTAATCCTAGCTACTTAAGAGGCTGATACCTGAGGATAACGTTCAAAGCCAACCTGGCATGAAAGTCCATGAGACTCCTATCTCCAATAAACCACTCAGAAAACTGGAAGTGGCACTGTGGCTCAAGTGGTAGAGTGCTTGCCTTGCATGCATGAGGCCCTGGGTTCGATTCCTCAGCACCACATAAGCAAAAAGAAAAAAAAGCCGGAAGTGGCGCCGTGGCTCATATGGTAGATCTAGTGCTCGCCTTGAGCTGAAGAGCTGAGGGACAGCGCCCAGGCCCAGAGTTCAGGCCCCACAACCAGACCCCAAAAAAAAAAAAAAAAGAGTCTCATGGACTTTCCTGCCCGGGCTGGCTTTGAACTGTGATCCTCAAATCTCAGCCTCCTGAGTAGCTAGGATTGTACAGGCATGAGCCATCAGTGCCTAGCTGATTTTTCTCTTAATCTGAATGGCAGATTACACTTAATTTTTTTTATTGTTATTAAGCCAATCTCACATTCCCTGGATAATTCAGTCTGGAACTCATACCTGGCAGATGCATTTCTAGATTCTGTTTCCTAATATCTTGCTTGGGATTTTGCGTTAATCACATGAGTATGACTAGCTTGTGATTGTGATCGCCTCTGGCTTGATGTCTGTTGAATTTTTTTTTTCCTGGTCCTGTAGCTGTGAGCCTCTTTGTACTCTGAGCCACAGTGCCACTTTGGGCTTTTTCTGAATAGTTTATTGGAGATAAGAGTCTCATGGACTTTCCTGCCTGAGCTGGCTTTGAACTGCAATCCTCAGATCTCAGCCTCCCAAGTAGCTAGGATTACACGTGTGAACCATTGGTGCTTAGCTTCTGTTGAATTTTGGTAAACAAAATTAGGTTAATTTTGGGGTGACATTGATCAAGATGCTTGTGTTTATAAACTGTTTTTTTGAATGGTAAGTCTTTTGTACAGCTACTTAAAAATAATAAATAGTACTTTAAAATTAGCTTAATTCATTAAATTATTTGAAAAGTGGGATTGCTGGGAAAAACTTGACTGTGAAATTATCTAGCTTTGATGCCCTCTTGGAGGGAGACAATAAGGCTGGTTTGATTCAGTTCTTCAGTTATTATAGGATTCTTTAAAATTTTGTATTTTTCTTTTAGGTTTACAAAGTAATATTTTCCTAGACACTGTTAACTTTAGTAGTTTTCACACATCCAACCTGGGTCACGGCTCAATAGTACTTGTCCAAAAATTACAAATTTCTGAGTTCAATTCCTGTACCACTAAAACTAGTTTTCAAATAGTCTCATAAGGTTCTTCATAATACTTTCTTTGCACCATGTAAATTTGTCATCCACTTTGCATTCCTAATAATATCTATCTATGCCTTTTGCTTTTATTCCTTGGTAATTTTAGCAGGCTTGTCAGTCTTATTAGACTTTTATAAAAGCAACTTTTTCCCTCTTGATCTTTTATGTTTGTCAAGAGTACAAATTCTAGTAAAAGACTAAGGGCAAATTCCAACTCTTGTATTTGCTAGATGCATGAACTTGGGCAAAACATAATTCTCTCTATCTAAATGACTTTATCTATAAAAGAAGCATGGTTATAACCATACTTACCTCATAGAGTTATTATATATAGTCAGTGAATTAATAAAATACGATAGGTAGAATATTTCTAGTATATAACACATAAACTACAAAGTATTAGTAGTAATATCATTATTGCTGATAATGTTAACTACTCAATTGCAACTAGTATAATACTTCCAATAGAAGTTTAGTTAGGACTTTATAGCAAAATAGTAAAGTACATGAATCTCTGGAATGTTTATACTCCAAAATAAAACTTATTATTTTGTAGCAAATTTACTTATCTTAAAAATATAGCTAGATAAATCTCTCTTTTTTTTTTTTGCCAGTTGTGGGGCCTGAACTCTGGGCCTGGCCACTGTCCCTCAGCTCTTCCGCTCAAGGCTAGCACTCTACCACTTGAGCCACAGCATCACATCTGGCTTTTGCTGCTTATATGGTACTAAGGAATCGAACCTAGGGCCTCAAGCATGCAAGGCAAGCACTCTACCACTGAGCCACCTTCCTAGCCCCAATATCTCTTAATTTATATGACAAAAAAGAATTAGAGACCAATAGATAAGATCTTTAATTCATAATAAAGAAATGTAGAAGCCGTGTGCCAGTGACTCATGCCTGTAATCCTAGCTATTCAGGAGGCTGAGAGCCGAGGATCACGGTTCAGAGCCAGACCTGGCAAGAAGAGTGTGAGACTCTTTATCTCTAATTAACCAGAAAACCAGAAGTGACACTGTGGCTCAAGTGGTTAGAATACTTGCCTTGAGCTGAAGAGCTGAGGGACAGCGCCCAGGCCCAGAGTTCAAGCCCCATTACCAACAAAAGAAACAAAAAATGTAGGTTACAGTGAAACACTGCTTTGCATCAGATTGAAAACTAAAGATATTGCCCACTACTCATCAAAGTCTGGAAAATTAATAGGGAAAACTACTGCTAGTGAGCAGAATATATATATCATAATTTTGAAAGACAAATGAGAGCATGTAGCAACTATTTTAATATGTATATTTACCACTGCAATAATATGACTAGCAATTATAGGCTCAGGAAAAAAGTCAAACAAGCAAGTAAGAATTCATGTAGGATTTTCAGTGTGAAGTTTATAAGAACAACAACAAAAAGAAATGATCTCAAGGACCACAAGTCAGAGTAGGAGGGAAGTAACGTATAGATGGTGATGTTCATAAAAATTAATATAGCGGGCTGGGTGCTGGTGGCTCACGCCTGTAATCCTAGCTACTCAGGAAGCTGAGATCTGAGGATCGTGATTCAAAGCCAGCCTAGGCAGGAAAGTCCGTGAGACACTCATCTCCAATAAACCACTAGAAAACCGGAAGTGGTGCTGTGGCTCAAGCTGTGGAGCACTTGCCTTGAGCTGAAGATCGCAGGGACCACGTCCAAGTCCAGAGTTCAAGCCCCACGACTGACAAAAATAATAATAATAATATAGCAATTTACCTAAATGTCTGAGAGTTAGACAAAAACATTGAAATACAATAAAAAAATACAGTGTGTATCTTTTTATTTATGAAACTTTGAGTCAGTACTTCAGAATGACACTATTTTTCTTTTAATCTGTGGGAGGTAAATACTTTTATAATATTTTCTTTGAGTAAATATTGGAGTTGAATTTTATAAACTTGACAGGACTTTTGTCATAATTAGTTGTTACAGAGATGATAATTCACAAAAGATGGCAAGGTCTAGGTCAAACTAAAGTAGTAATCCTACCAACTAATTGATAATGCTGCTGATTCATTGGGGTTTTCTCTTTCTCATTTGTACCAATTTCTTCTTAAAAGACATGTGAAAGTCCTCATTATTTGTCTGTCTTAGGATTTAAAAATTATGAAAAGTAGACATGGTACTATTTTGGTTTAGTTTTAGTTTTGTATTTTAGACATTGACCTCCTGCCGGACATGGAAGTACACACTTATAATACCAGCACTTGGTTGGTTGAGGCAGGAAGATGATGAGTATAAGGCCTGCCTGGAGTACATGGCAAGTTCAGGCCACATATCCTGTTTCAAAAAAAAATTAACCTTTTTTATTTTTTTAAACAGGTGATTAACACTATGTCCTAGCACATTCGAGGCAAACACCTTACACTGAACTACATCTGTCCAACATTCAAATCTTATATCTGGTTCTTCCAGTTTTGTTGACTAACTGCAACAAAAACATTTTGACTGAGATTTGAGTCTGAAAATATGGAACCAATTAGTGCAATTTTAATCAGTTATTGGTGATTATAAAAGCCACTAAAGAGAGACAAGGCAGACACCTCTTAAAATGTACAAGGCAAAAGCAAAGGAAGAGATGACATTGTCCAAAAAAATTGTACTTATGGGGCTGGGAAGGAGGCTCGGTGGTACAGTGCTTGCCTCATATGCATGAGGCCCTGGGTTCAGGGACAGCACCCAGGCCCAGAGTTGCAGGCCCCATGACCAACACCCCTAGCTCTCCTCCCTCCTCCTCTCCCCCCCCTGCCAAATTGTACTCATTACAAGACTTACAAAATGGCAAACTCCTCTAACATTTTAATAATAATAATAATTTTTTAAATGTATAAGACAAGAACTAGTATTTCAAGACTGGTAAACATTGTGTCGTCTCTAAAATTCCATTAAGATAAATCATTAAAGTTTAGCCTTCATAATATTGCTCATTCGTTTTTATCAAAATAAATGTTTGTAGCCAGGTGCCTGTGGTTCACGCCTGTAATCCTAGCTACTCAAGAGACTGAGATCTGAGGTTTGTGGTTCAAAGCCAGCCCAGGCAGGAAAGTCCTTGAGACTCTTATCTCCATTTAACCACCAGAAAACAGGAAGTGACACTGTGGCTCAAGTGGTAGAGTGCTAGCCTTGAGCTGAAGAGTTCAGGGACAGCAACCAGGCCCAGAGTTCAAACCTTACAACTAACCAAAAAGAAAAAAAAAGTTTGTTTTTAAATTTTATTTTATTTTTTATTTATTAATTTTTTTGGTGGGTCGTGGGGCTACAACGCCACTTCCGGCTTTTTCTGCTTATGTGGTACTGAGGAATTGAACCTAGGGCCTCATACATGCAAGGCAAGCACTCTACCACCGAGCCACCTTCCCAACCCCTTAAATTTTATTTTTATCTTTAAGCACTTGTACAAAGGAGTTGCCATTCCACAAAGTAGTATAGGAGTACAGTAAATCTTCAACAGTGTCACTCTTTCATCATTCCCCTCCATCCCTCTAACCCCCCCCCCCGCTTTACTCCTTATTTCCTTAAAACCATTTCAATGATTTTCTTCCATGTAAGTCTACTTAGCATGCAGAATAACAAATTAGGGAATGCATGTTTCCTGTTTATGTTGAACTACAAGATTTATTTCTTACAAGACAAATTTAGTTTAAAAAACAGTTCTAAAACTCTTATTTGTGTTCCATCATTTAAACACAGCAATAGAGACACAAAGATTTAAAGTTAAAAATAAGTTCTTGTTTGCATGTACTCAAACATAGCTTAGTAAAAACACATGGTTTTTTTTATCTCTTTTTACTGATAGATCATGAACAGACCCATGATAACATAGATCATGAACAGTGCCATGATAACATAAACCAGACTGTTACTTCGACCATTCTCAGGATACTTACTGTGCTGAAACGGCAAGTTTTCAATACCGTTTCTTGCAATTTGCTGATTTCCTTGAACTAGCAAACCTGTGATCAAAACAGTTTGCATTTACCTCACAATAAAATCTGAAACATAGACTCAAACTAAACAGCTTATACGAGTGTAATCTCTGTAATAGCGATGTAGAACATGGACAGAATAATTAAAACAATTATTTGGTCAGTATATGAAAAATAATTCATGCATATCTATTCTGTATAAAATTAAGTTGACTTTGAGGCAAAGGAAGTTGTTGATGTCTAACAGTCTAAAGTTTTGTTTATCACTAAAACATATTTTATCATTTGGGCCAAAAGACTAGAAGTTTCATCTCTTTGTCCAAAAATGTGTATTTTACTTTTTCTTAGAAAAAATTTATAGTGTCAAATGCTTTTGTGGAATAGTTTATGTGATATCTTGTCACTGAATGACAGAAGGTTCACCTGATAATCTTGCACTTTTTCCATATGACAGTGTGATAGGACACTAGTAGTAGGATGACCAAAAATGCCTTCCTTGCCTCTGCCATTCCACAGATTAGGGAGTTTCTCCTTTCTGAATTTATTGCATTATTTTTCTTTACCATCTAACATCTATGTTTTATTCAAAATTATTTTTTGTTCCTATTGTTGGTTTCATTCACCTCCTCATATCTTGGGAGTAAAGGAATAAAGCTATGCTGTTATTCAGCCAACATTCACTAAACTGTACTGTATGCTGAAATTAGAATAGCTGCTTAGCCTCCATTTATTTTGCAACTGTGTCACTTGAATATAAATTACTTTATTTGAATCTCATTACAAGTCAGTGAAGTGGCCTGAGTTGGTATTTTATTTTGTAGATCAAATATGAATGAGAGGTTGACTCTCAGAAATTAAATAGCAAATCAGTAAGCAGTGATTAGGATCTCAGTTTTAAATTTGTAGAACCACGTTTTTTCCATTGAGCCATTCTTCTATAAAAATTATATAACACTATCTCAAGGGTAAGAGTGTCAATAATAGACTAATAGTACCTTGAAAAATAGTTTAAGCAAGGGAGTAGTCTGAAGATATCATATTAATATATCTTACATTTATACAAGCAAAAAATGCATAGAGGAACAAGTATGTTTTCTTGTTTTCAAAGAATTGTTGTTGCAGTTATAATGTGTAATTTGAATTTTTT